TCAAAAGGTCTTGATACAATATTATCGTTTATTGCAATAATTTTTTAGACAATCGTCCAGCAAAATTTGTTACCGTGACAGGCCTAGGTATTGGTGCTGAAAAAGTGGATCAGTGGATTCCTAGTTTTTCTATTAAATATGCAAACCTGCATTCTTTGGAGCTTAAACAGCATAATTAGATTTTGGATGACTTATTTCACAAAAATGTAGGCTTTTGTCTGATGAATTTATTGCATATGTCCCTTATGTGAGTTTTTCCTGTTTATTTCTTATGTTACGTCCCCAAGGTCTAGGGGTCCAGGGGCGGTAACATAAGATGTGTCCAGAGTAACAAGTGGAATGTAAAATGATTTATTACAAAAGAAAGTTTCACAAAACAATACAATTTAACCCAATTAATGCTAAACAAAAGGGATTAATAAACTCAAGAATGTCAAGTGCAAATTAAAGTTACAAAATGTCTTACAAGTCAATTCAAAGTAAACTGAAAATAACTAAAAGGGGGAAAAAAAGAACACACAAAGGGAGCACCAAGCCTCCCAAACAAGCTTCTAGCTTGGCAAAGCAGTCAAGCTACTTAGCAGAACAAGCAGAAACAAAATGGTTCAAAACTGCCACAGCAGTTGTACAAAATGGTTCAAAACAAACTGCCTAAAGCAGTTGCAAACATCAAACGTGGGGGGACAGCTTCACAAAGCCTCTTTCAACTAGCTGCCCCACTGGAGGAATGGATTCAGGAGTCTTTTATATGGTGCAGGTGGGCCTCATCAACGTCTGATTGACTTGTAATCCTCTGCTGGTCCAATGGCGTAGCCGCTCCCCTGCAGCCTTCAGGCAGCCAATCAGGAAGGTGTGCTCTCACAGCTGAACCTGCATAACAAAAAAGGGAACCTGCACAGCCTCAAAAGGCCAGGGGCCGTAACGCATGTTTTTACCTCAGGTCTGTGCTTTTAAATCCTCCTGACTGCTGTGTTGTGTATTGTTCCAGTGCACTTTCTCCTCTGTTTCTACTCACACTCTTACTCTTGATGGATCTTTGTGTCTTCTGAACCTACTGATGGCGGCAGGTGTTACAGTCCTTAGTTTTCTCAGCTCTCATGTCTTGTGAGTAAAGACGCTGCGGGTCACGGGAGGATTGCACAAAGGAAGCCGACAGCAAACAAGACCCCCTTTTAAAACACAGAAACGGGATTGATTCATGCACTCCTGTTGCTTAGCAACTGCAAAGCCTCATTGAGAGAGAATATTGACCTCTTGTTGATAAAGTCCAATTACATTTTTCTGCCTTCGCTTTGTATATATCTAGAGATTTTTACAATGTCATCCCCTGACTGCCTCCCTAGTGTGTGCACCGCATTTCCATTCAATATCTTGGAGAAATATTGTGCTATGATTGCCACCTGCTCCGGGAGCTGCTGACTAAAAGGAGATGTGAATATGATCCTTCTTGAGCATGAGTAACAGGGGGTTTCAATATGTTTGTGTTGCTAATTTAGTCAATTAACATGTCTGCAGATCTTCTGCGCCTTCAATGGCCCCAAAGCTGCCACAAACATATTTCTATCACCGCAAGAAACATAATTCAGCCTCTGCCAAAACTGCTACACGTTCCAGCAGGCTCCGAAATGAAAATCGATTTCCAAAATTTCATTTACATTTTCTTCTACTCTTGCTCTAAGCTAGCTCTGTGCTGTAATTTCAAATGATCAGATGCTAATCAGGTTGCTGCTTCTCAGGGCTTTATCTTGTAATGTGCTTTACGTTTTTTTATTTGGTCAGAATTGAAACATGTTGATTAAAGTTCAAGCACTTTTGTGTTGTGCGCTCATTTCTCTGTAATCTACTATGTTTTTAGATGTAATTAGCCTCCATACACTGTTGGTGGGACTTGAGATGCATGTTGTTCACAGCATTACTTTTAACTCTTCCTCAGAACACGTCTGCTCCGTCATCGCTTCCATGCTGAGAAACCTCAAGTCCCAGCAGAGAACCAGACTCCTCAACAAGTTTACAGAAAACGACTGTGAAAAGGTTGGCTGTTCTCTCGTTCCTTTTGACTTCTTTTGATTTATTTTAAAATATTTTTCATCCTTACTCCTTCTGTGTTTTTTTGTTTTGGACTCACTTCTATTCACTGAAATTCAAACAAAGTTTTTATTTATTTTTGTTGCACTGAAAGCTTTAGTGAAATTTGTCTCTCTGCTCCATTCAACCATTTTCTTGAGTTTATCTCCTATGCAGATAGACGGACCTGTCCAGGCCCCTTTTCTATTGAAATTTATTCAGTTGAAAATGTACACCTGCATGAATACAAGTATGTGGTTAGGTAATCAAATTTAGCTGAGTCAGGCAATGATTTGTGCATCATTTAGGAAAATTACACTATTCACATTAAGTTAAGGTAAACTTCTGGAAAAAGTAAAAACTTCACACCACAATGATGTTTTGCCATGAAAGCAGGATGTTTAAGCAGAAGCATGCAATCACCATTTAATGTGTTCTTGCATTATTTATCCATTTCTATTATATTACTAAAAATGGTCTCAAAACAACAATATTATCGTTTATCACAATAACTTGTATAATTTATCATGACAGGTCAGTGTACAGAAATATTGTTTGTCTATTCAAAAGTTTAGAGAAGGTTGCATGAAGTTCATTATTAAAGGTTTTAGTCCATTTTAGGTTCAACATGGCTACTTTTGAGAGTAGCCATGTTGAAATGTTTGTACCTCTGAAGTGACTAGTATGTCTCCTTGGATTATTGTCCAGTTTTGAGCAAGAAGTTTAATTAATGTGAATTGTGCCTTTTAATCTTTTATCAGCTGCTTGTTTTGTTTAAAACAACTTGGTGGTTTCAGGTGGTCTGCCCACATGAAAGCTCAAAAACAAGCTTATTCTTGCTAAAGGTAACAACAAGCAGCTTAATGTTTATTTCCATTAGATGGAGCCACATTGACTCTCATTTAGATTGATCCTAAAAAGATGCTAAATTGAAACATTCAGATGGAAAAACTCATTTATTTTGGAGTTTCTTTGCTGTATTTATCAAGAACATTGAGTCTGTTTAGAGCACAATGAAGTATTAAGGATATGAAGACACAGCTCACTGTCAGAAAACTCAGTCACAGGTCAATGGTAATGGCCTAAAACTAATTTTACTCAAGAATAGCTTAGAGAACAAAATAAAATAATTTTCCTCAGCCTAGCTTGAGCCCAAATCTATCGAATAACAATGGAAAGACTTTCCTCCCTTCCAGTCTGAGACAGCGTGAGCATTTTGTTCATGAAAAGTTTCCATTATTAGAGCTGCAAGCTTTATTTTTATCTTAATTTATTTGGAGAGACTTTTTAGCCAGCCAACGTTTTACACAATCTAAGTACTTTTTTAATTATATGCGTCTATCTTGTTTCGCCTCTTTGCTCCCGTTCTTTGCTTTCTAATCTCACGCCATCGTTCTTCCGTCCAACGCTTCCTCATTATATCTTCAGGTTGATCGACTGATGGAGTTGTATTTTAAATACCTGGAGGCTGTTCAACAGGCTGATAAGAGGATCGAAGGGGAGAAACATGTAAGAGCCATCTTTTTATCCTCCCTCCTTACTGATCTAGTCTTTCTGTTAACTTTTGATGCACTGTTTTCATGTTGAATCAGTTGAAGTGACGGATTCACATAAAAATCTCTTTACTTAGAAGATTAAAGGAGAAAAATAAAGCTGTTATTAGTCCCATGAAAACAAGTCCAGGGACTTTGTTGTAGCTGTTACTTGTAGTGTTTGTTTTCAATTGTTTCCCTTATCACATTTTGTGGCATTACGACCTCAAACTTCATGTATTTTATTAGGATGTTTTTGCAAAAGAGCCACACAAAGTTCTGCAAACTGAGAGGTCGGAGAAAAATGATTGTCTTAATAAAAGGGGCAGTATCATGAAATCAACTTTGTTTTAGCTTTACATCATGTTATGCTGATTCCTCATGTGGAGTGTTGCTCCACTCCTTCCAAATGTTTGGGTTTAATATGCTGTAAATGAGACTTCCCTTGGCTTCTGGAGAAGTTTACGAAGTTATGATACTTTTGCAAATTATATCACCTGCAGACGTCCACAAATGAGAACTAACCCGAGTCATCATTCATTCATTATTGATTCAATTAAAGCTTCAGAAGTACATTATAGATGCAAACAATGTTGTGAAATTAATTTGAAGTAAATGTCATCTCCTTTCTAGCATTGTGAAGAAAAAAGACCAAAAACCAACTGAACATAATTTACAGAAGAATGAAACGTTTGATAAGTGTGTCTGTGGAAATCGGACAGTTTGATGGAGGAAAAGTGTCCAGGCAGAGAATACGAGTGCAAAAAGTGTTAAAAGAGCTTCTTCTCTCCAGTAATGTAGAGAGACCGGAAGAAAGTCACAGAAACACTGTAAATACTGGATGGGTGGGTGAAATGTGGAAAAAAATAAATTAAAAGAAAATAAGTGATGCAGCTAGAGTGAAAGGGAAACGGCGAAGTGGAAGGAGGCGTGGGTGGAGACAGATAAGTGAGAGATTCCTATCTAAAGATGACAGAAGATTAATTTCTCAGACAGACAGCGTGGTAAGATTGCCAAGAAAAGGCCAGACAGTTTGACATTCTCCTCTCCTCCTCCTCCTTCGTTTTTTTCTTTCTCTTTTCTCTCTCCCGTTTCCCTCTGTTGCTCTCTCGCCTCCGCCTGTGGGATGGAGACAGAAGGGTTGTTCATGATAACCTGGCGATAAGGAGCGGCGTCCGCGTGTGCTGCTATCTTTAAAACCACATTGCTATAAACCACCTGAGTTCACAGCCAGACACGCAAAGCAAAAAGAAACAGAAACACATTTTACGTCATTTGAAAAAATGACTTTGGATGTAATAGTCCTAATATTTTATTAATCTGATTCATCTTAACAGCAGAGTGAAAGGCTGGTAAACTACTAGCACCAGATGAATATGAAGATAATACAGAGAGTAAAGTGTTTAGTGGAGAAGATGGAGCAGAGATGAAGAGGGGATGCTGACCTCCCTGTGGAGCCGCCAAACATTTCCAGTTCATGTAGGCGGGTTGCTGTCCCTTTAAGACAGTGGTCCCCAAACTACAGCCCACGGGCCGAATCCAGCCCGCCTCCACATTTGATCCGGCCCCCTGAACAATACCAGAGAGCATTTAGATTTTTTTTTCATATACCGTATTTTCTGGACTATAAGCCACTTATATGTGGATTTTTCTTCAACCACCAGGGGGCTCTTTAGCAGGAAGTGAATCATTGGAAGTCAAAATTGGAAATCAAAGAAGAAAGCGCCAATTAAAACGGAATTAGGTTTTAATAGGGAATTGAAATTTGAGAATGTTGTTGACTGTTGACAGCTTTAACAAATATGTACAATTTTTTTTAATAAAAGTTACATATTGTGGCTTTACTTTCAGTCAAAACAAAATCAAGCAGTTAAGAAATGCATTAGCTACACAGATTGGAATGATTCAGCTTCATTTTCTTGAAGCTTCATTTCTCAAACTATATATCTTTGTATTCAATGTAATATATATCATAGGTGTTACTGCAGTATACACAACAATAAAAATAGAGAAAAAATTTGAGACCTATTTAAGTCAAGTACAGAAGCTTCAAATAAAGTTTAATCTTTAATCAGCTTTTCATGTTGGCATTATAGTAAATAAAAAAGAAATACTATTTTGCAAATTGTAAGTTATTCATCTCAAAGTGTGACCACCAGTTTAGGCTTTTGCATTGTCCTACTTTGTCAGTTAGCTTTATAAAGCATTGTGGTAAATTATTTAACATATCACAGAGGGATAACTGTTCCGCGCTGTCCACCGGCCTCAGCACAGTGCCACCATTTCTCTTCCCATTCCACAGACTGCAACATCTCCATGATGATATTTTAAGTTGGTGTGAACCAAAGCCCCCACCAAATGCCACGTTCCTTTAAATAAGCTGATAAAGACGCCAACCCAGTTCTGTCCCGCATCTCGGCCCGAATCGGCTGCCGTCAGCAGCAGTGTTTTATCTCTCTGCACCCTGCCTTTTTGGTTTCACCCTAGTTAAGCCTGTTTTTAAGGAGCGGTAAGCAAAATGTTTTTTTTTTTTCCCTCTGCAACATATTATCCCCAGATTTCTCAGGAGGATAGCGGAGGAAAAGCTGCTGCTGCTCTTTCCGTGTGCCTTTAATAAGCTGCTTATTTTAGTCCCACCTTGGTATCTCTCTTCCTCTACCCTCCCGTTATCCTTCTCATCCCCTTTACCTTCAAGTTACTTTCCCTTCTTGGAATAATGTCCTAGTCTTCCTCCTCCTCAATATTTATTTTCTATCACTTCTTCTAATATGCTCCTGTTCCACTTTTTCTTCTGTGACTTATTCCTGTTGTTTTCCATACAAACTTTAATGTGTTTGATCTCCTCATGTATAAATCTTTCAGTTTTCTCTTTGTCTTTTTCTGCTGTTGGCTCTGCTTTCTGCTTTTTTCTTCACATTTCCCCCTCCTAACCTTTTCCTCTTTCTCTGCTTGTTGCTAACAACTCTTCTGAGATTGAGGAAACTCAGCAAAACATGTCTTAGGCTGACCTCAATACTGTAAAATGCTTCAATGTGCTTTCCCACTAGTTATTCACTCAGATTGTTGTTTAATGCTGAGCAAAATGGCCTAGATTAGGTTTGCTGATGGTTCAAAGCAGAGCAATTCTCTGGTGTTGGTTTTGCACCCAGATGAGCTATTTATAGTTATTCTAAAAATAAATTGTCTCCCTTTATGCTACGAAATCTTCTTTGAGTTGCAGCTTTGATCTCCAACTTTCCTTCTGTTTCACAGCTTTGTTGTGGTTATTCTTTCATTCATAAAAGTTTTCAGTCTTTCCTGGTTTTAAAACCTTCTGCTCTTTAATCAGTCCATTCATTGTTTTGAGGTTTAATTTAATTTGCAGTGTTTACTCTGAGGCTCAGTGTTTTATCTTGTGCAAAAAAGAAACTTTGCATTTTTACAACATTTAAATGAATAATTCATGTTGTTTTAAACCGAATTTTTAAATAAAAACTATTACATTATCGCAAGAAAACAAACTTTTTAAATATAATGACTTGGACAAGTTGAGCAAACCTGAAATATCCACATTTTTAATAACAAGAAAAATATTTTAGAGCCATTTACAATGGATTATGTAGTTTGCATATAGTACTTGAATACAGCATCATGCTACATGTGCTGCAGCTGAAAACTAAGCAAAAGTACAAACTTCACAGCAAGTTGTCATTAAATAATCAAACCAATTAATCAAACTACTGGAAGCTTAGAAACAAAGGATGTTTCCCTAAATAACTTGTTGCAAAAAATGTATCTTAGGATATTTTTAATCATCACATAATGCTTAATTTCTTTTGATAAAGTGGAACCGAAGTCAGATCTGTGTGAACAAACTTGGCAAATAAATCTGATTTTGACAGATTTTTTACTTTTTCACTGCTTTGTGGCGTATTGATTTGTAAATCAGGACTCATCACTGCCTCCCTCCCTTGGGCCTCAAGGTTGCTAAATTTAGAGAATTACTACTGTGGTTTGGGTTATTTCTTATAAAAATATTGCAACAGGTACAATAAAAAAAAGTTTGTAGGCTTAAAAATAAGATGATGATGAATCTGCTTCAATAAAAATGTTCAAACCTGAAACTAAACTAGAGTTTGTTTGATAAATTTGATTTGACATAGAGGTATGGGCGGACAATGACTAGTCTTATGGCTGATTTGTAACAAAAGGATTTTTGTATTTTTGAAATGAAACATTTACAAGATGGTAACTATGACAACTGTGATAGATTGGGGATGGAGGCACTAACAAAAAGACGGGTAGCAGAGCAGATGATTTTATTGTGAGGAACCAGAATGGAAAGAATTAGAAATGAGTAATCGGAGGGAGGAGGTCAGGTTGATTTTTGGAGATGGAGTTGAAGATGCAAGGCAGAGAGGGTTTCAGTTTGTGCAGTGAATAGATTAGTCAAAAGGTGGAGGTGAAGGAGGAAAACAGGAAGATCAGATAAGCAGTAGGGAAGGAGTGTTGTTCTGTCATCCAGGCAGAATTAAAGTACAAACTGGTTTGCCGTACACATGCAACCAAAGAGCATTAAAAGAATCCCTCTAAAACCAACAACAGCATGCTGCTGATTAGAGTTTATATTTATGGCCCAAACCTGAGCCGAGACTCAGACCGAGTCGGGTCAGAATTATTAGCTTGATGGTCAAGTTCAGGTTTCTGTAGCGTGTTTAATAAACCTGTAATACATTCAGCACAGGGAAAAGCTAACCAGAACTCCTAAGACAAAGTAGTGTTAATTTACTACAAATAGATGAGTAGATAGTTTAACCTGTTAAGGAAATGAAGTGATTACTGAAGTTAATCTGTACAAGCAGAGCACACTGCAGTGAGAAGATGGTACCAGTCACACATCCCAGAGGATTTGACCTTAACTCACCCTGCGGTTACAACTAGCGACAAAATGGAAGATATTAAATAAAAGCTAAAAACAGGAGAACTTACACTCCTTAC